TAAAAACGCAAAAAACACTCCAAGACTATATTTATACATATTTCAGGTTAAAATATTTGTAAAATGCTATCAGAACATTTATAAATAAATATAAAGCATTGTTATATAGTTAGAATTTGAAAAAAAAAATAATGAAGGAAAAAAAATCCTAAGTCCAGAAGAGAGACTCGAACCTATGGTAAAAAAACTTGCAGCGGTTCAGCAGTCGGACACTCTAACAACTGCGCCATCGACGCCGTTGAAAATATCGTTGATTTTCTAGGATATATTGCGCTCAACGGTTGGCTTTATTTTATTTGTTTCAATTGTTATGTAATTCTGCTTAGTGTAGAAACATTAAACAGTCTACAAAACACTTATATATTGAAGGACGCATAAAAATTCAACGTGTAAGTTACTCTAATACGCAGAAAATGAGGAAAAATTCGGTTTTTATTTTTTTTCACTGCGGCGCACCAAAATGAAAAATCTGAAAAAAATTGAGAGTAATAGTAATAGTAATAGTAATAGTAATACCTGTTTACTGTAAAAGTATAAAAGTAGTTCCGGGCCTCCTTCAATACGTAATCGGCATTTTTCGGCATTTTTTGCTGTTTTTTATTTTTCACTACCTGGTTCTTCAATCAAAAAATCTGAAAATCTCCCAAAGTATGTGCCCCGGTACCCGAAATGTCTCTGAATTTTTTTACATTTTTTTACTCAATAGGTCAAGAGAAATAATTCAAAAACATGATTTTCGTTTTCACCCCATTACTACCCCCACGGTCGAGATTTCAAGTTAAAAATTTGCACACATGGGTTATTTTTTTTTTGCTATCGAATGACCCCGGGCTCGTTCCATTCGGTTTGGGGGCACATTTGACCCCCTTATTCGGCTATACCCTTTTCAGGTCGGTATGGCAATCAGATTGGCCCACGAAAGTCCATAAGGTAAAAGGTCTACTCGTGTACCTCGTCTGTGGTTCTACCGCCAACAAGGATTTTGAATCTAATTATAAAGATTTGAATACAAATCAAGAATTCATTTTTAACCGTGTTTATAATTTGTATTAAAATAAGATGATATCTACGTATTTAGATATAGTTTGTTCATTTTTTCAACTAAAAGATCTTATTTACCAATTGAAATCACTTTTCTGTACATCAGAATAACAGAACCAACCAATTTATGAAAGAAAGACTCGTAGGCATTTTGTGGAGCGATTTCATCAAAATTGTGGAACAGGCAAGAGATCAACTTACTTACCTTTACAGTTTGCACTCTTCCTTATTTGGCGTGTGGTGCCTCGCTGGCAATTTTTCAGTGTCTAACTGTAACTGTAACTGGTGTCACAGAACACCCTTACACGAACAAAGTTGCACCTTCCAAACTTCCGACCAGTGAGCTTTGTTCACTGTTTACTATATCTGGAAGTAAAAGGCAAACGTGTTGAAAGAAATTTCATCATTAGCGAAGAAAACATAGAGAAACATAGAGAACATTTGCAAAATCTAATAACTATTTAATACATTATTCAACGAATATTTTGATATATTCGCCATTGATCTTCTGAGAATATGCAATATTTGATACAAGATTAAAAAATATTTAATAATTATTATTTTATTAGTTACAGTACTTTTAAACAATAAAAATACAAAATTAAAATATTTGACTGCTAAATTTGCGGTTGAGACAATACAAATGACTTGAAAACTAATTATTCAATTTTATGTTTCCTTATGTAAATTTAATTTGGAAAACGAAATTATAATTTTAAATATTTTTTACTTAATATATGCAAAGAACTTCTTTACTTTCTTTATAATAATCAAAGAATTGAAAGATATGTATTAGCATATAAGTCACAGATGTCAATATTAATAAAATACCAAATAATGTTAATACTGTTTAAATTGTAAATGATTATCTGAAATTGAATTCTTTATCCATCCTTATACAGTTACTTAATATTTTTTTTAAGTAAAATTTTCTATAATCGTACTCAACATTAATGTGATTTATAATAATGTAATGAAATACTGTACAGCTTACTTTGCCACCATAGTAAATAGCTGTCGATGTAAGAATAGCAACTAAAGCTAACATAATTTTCCAACCTGCTGTATTTAAACCATTATTATTCTCATTTAAATATCGTTTAAAATTAAGAAATTTATTCTTCAAAGTCTTTCAGAAAATATATACAGTCAGTCAAAAAAGTCTTCGTACACCGCACTAAAATTTATTGAACGTTATATATTAGCCAAGGACAAAAATAAATAATTTTTACATTATTATATTGAGAAACATAACATTTATTATTAGTGAAAAAGGAAAAAGCATACATCCATTTATTAATGGAATATAATAACGACGAAAGCACAAACGTAACAAAAATGTAGTCAAAAAAGTCTCCGTACAAAGAAATATTCAACAGTCTAGTTTTAGGAATTCTGCAGAATGGTTACAAACAAGACTGGAACAATACTCCAAAGTTGAGGATAAGTTAGTTTCTTAAGTGCTAGCAAATAGAAAGGTACATACTGTGTGTATTTTCTTCAAAATGGAAATCCCTGTTGCGATCCAAGAGTTAATTGTTGAATTAAGAAAAGAAGGTGCAACATTACAGAAGTCACCTTCTACTGTGCAATAGATTTGCCATAAATACAATGTAACAGGATTAAATCAAACTCGAAGACGAACAGGGAGACCTCAAAAATTAGAATCACACCACAAGCGTGCCATTTTAAGAACAATCAGATCTGATTCATGGACTAGTGCTCCAAAATTGGCATCAATGATAGAAACTGATTATATACAAGTAGTGGCTGAGACAATACAAAATGTAATAAGGAAAGCAGGATACAATAGCCGCACAGCTAAACAAAAACCTTTTATTAGTCAAGTTAATAAACAGAAGCGATTTGAGTTCGCAAATTTACATGTTAACAGAGACCAAAACTTCTGGAATAATGTAATATTCAGTGATGAAAGTAAATTCACTATTTTTAATTCAGAAGGAAAGAATAAAGTTTGGAGAAAACCAAACACACAAATGGAACCTAAACATTTGTATCCTGGAACATTGTAACACGGAAGCGGCTGTGTGATAGTTTGGGGGTATGAGTGCTGCGGGAGTTGGATACATGACATTTATTGATGGTACTATGGATCAAAATGTTTATTTAAACGTTTTGAACGAAAATTTGGCCTGTACTGTATTAAAATTAAATTTAGAAGGGTTGTTTATCTTCCAACAAGATAACGACTCTAAGCATACAGCGAAGAAAGTAAAAGATTTTGGGGTGAAATGAAAAGAAAATTAAAAAAGTACAATATTAAAAACAAGGAAGATTTGAAATCCAAAATACTATTAGAATAGAAAAACATTCAACCAGATTTAACTAAAAAGTTGGTATGTAACATGCAAAAAAGTTTGCAAGAAATTATTAAACTAAAGGGAGGACCCACTGATCATTAAAAAATTATAGTTAATAAATTTGTGCTTTCGCCCATTATATTCCGTTAATAAATTGATGTATGCCTTTCCTTTCTTACTAATAATAAATGTTATTCTGAATATAATAACATTCTGCGTATTTCTGAATATAGTAACGTACAAATTATTTATTTTTGACCTCCTTCTTGGCTAATATACAACGCTCAATAAATCTTAGTGCGATGTACAGAGGCTTTTTTGATTGACTGTATGTACTTTCAAAGTTCAGAATATGTATAACTATCGACCAGAAAAACAACAAAGAAAAATATTTAACATTTTTGAGACGATGATATTTTAATGTAAAGTAATGAAAGTTTACTAAAATACAGAAGGAACGATTGCAGATGTCGTACTGATTGTAGTTCGAACGATAAGAATAAATTTACTTTGTGCGTGTGCTGAATTTAGTGAAGATTTTTTCATTATTATCGGAATCTTAAGGAATATTGGCATTGAAGAAATAATATTGTGATAAATTTATGTACTGTAATAATTTTTCCAACTGAAGGTTAGTAATTAGTTTAATCGCATCGCGACCCTTGCTAAATGTGTATAAAGATTTTCAAAAATAAACTTACAAGTGAATCGTTTTTGCGCCACGCCTTTATATAAGCATAAGCATTTTGTGTGTCGAGCGTTTCAATTGTTACTTGCATGCGGTTATCGTTTGTACAAAACACGACGGACAAAAGAATTTCAACAAGAAAATAATAAATAAAAATGGTAATTTTAATCGTATTTAATTATTGGTTAATATTTACTGTGATAACTAAACTAAGAATTCTAAAGCGCGTTTAAATCATATTTTAAACTAACAAAACTTGTGAATAAGAAGCATATGCCTTAGTTATCTGATTCCCGACCACGCTATGGAAAAATTTATGGGATACGCAATACCGTGCTTCGCACGTGCCTAGTAATGATTACACACACGGAAAAGTCTCATGCTTCGCACATCACAAATTGTACTTACTCTTTGAGAATCTCAAATTGAAATTGCTGAACTTCAGAAGCTTGAACGATTTCTGGATCACGATGTAACACTTTTAATGGACAAGTTTTATCTTGCCTCGACAAGTCGTCAAATTGCCGCCAGACGGAGCCCTCGGTGCACCGGGGCACCTCATTCCACTTCAGCACACTATGCCAGATCACGTGTACGTACGTGAGCTCGTAGAGCGAAGAGTCGAGAAAGACGGCAACCGTGAGCCTTTCTTTCTCGCTCTTAAGCTGCGTCTCCACTGCGTCGGCAGTACACTTCCAGTTTCCACAGCCGACTCTAGTACTAGCCGTGCTATGGAACGTGGCAACACCGCTCATGTGCGGATCGGGAGTCCTATTTTCAATAGTGGAGTTTTGTGTTCAGGATTATAATTAACGTTATTTTGCGATATAAAATTATACTAATATACAATATTTTTTATTAATTATGTATAAGGAATATATGAATATCACAACTATAGTAAGTAGAAGTAATACAGAAGTATATTAATATTTATAAATGTGGTATATATTTTGTGGACTGTCGGAATAGTTTGGTGTTGTGATGCATTATATTTGAAATATTTACAGAGATTTCAAGAAAATAGAAGTGTGAAACAAGTTAAAACCATCTTTGAACCAAACTGAAGGATTTAAAAATTGATAAAGGTATGTATAAGTTAATAGAGACCTGAAATAGGCAAAATTATTGGTACGAAGCCAAACAGGTTAAGTGCCCGTGGAAAAGAGGTTAGCATAATTAGCTATTGAAAGGAACAATTATGGAGTTAATTATAAAATCGTGTTAGAGGACAGTATGATAATTGTGAAAAATTTCCTCACCACCCTAGGGGTATTTACCATGGCGCGTTACCTTTTTTTTTATTATAATGGGTGGTTCGCCAATAGCCATATCATCCCATTTTCTAAAATAAAATTAATACTTTTAAATAGAACATAACAAAAACATAACTTTTGTATTCTTAAAGAAATAAAGTATTACATTTTGAAATAATAATAAATAATTTTGAATAATATTAATAACAAAACATATCAAAACATACTTTGAAATTCTCTTGAAATACAACTAATAAAACTTTGAATCTTGTGAAATAGTATTCATAATAAAAATATACTAAGCAAGTAAATAAAACTCTATTAATGTATTAAAACATATTGAAAGGAATAAGTTAAATATATATAAAAATTAATGTTTTAAGAAAGATGAAATTAAAAAAAATCATTGAAAATCTAGTTCCTATTAAAAGTTTTTAATTTACGATTTTTAGAAGTGATGTCTGTACGTGTTTCCAACTGACTATTATTTACAGTTTTCACATAATCGTTTAATAAAATATTTGAAAAAATTGATAATAATTTAAACCAAATACTTTGGTAAGCTCGACCACAAACGCATGTATCTGAAAATGCTAAATAATATATGTCTGATTGAATGCTAATATATGTTAATTTACATAAAATATGTTTATGATTTCCAGATTGCAAAAATTGAGATTCTAAATTGCCGTCATTTATTATGGCTTCCATTATTGCATACATATGAATAAATGAGGCTATCGCTTCTTCAGTGGGGACAGAAAGGCCCCCTCTTTGTAAGCGATCAAAATATACATCGCCTACAGTTTTACCTTTATCCTCCACAACTAATAAACGACGTATATTGCAATTTAATTTTTTAGCAACAGAATGGGACCCATAACCAGAAATATAAATTTTAATGGAATCATCTACAACACAATCGGACAAGTATTCGGTATCGAAGATTCCTGAGAAACAAGTCACATCAGTGGGAAGATCATGAAGATCGTTATTATTGTCATCACAAATTCGAAATTTATTTTTGATTTCAGTAAGAGAAAACGAATTTGCCGATTTTGTAAATATATGTTTTAATCTAATTTTTTTTTCTGCATGAATTATTTCGTTATATGACACATGATAATTACAACCAGATAAAAGTCTATAATTTCCAAATCGTTTTTCTAATTTTTCGGTTGTAAAATGGAGGGTACTACATTCCTTATAAGCCTTGGACATCTCAACAAAACATTCTCCAGTACACCATTGGGCGATAGAATACCGTGGTACCTTTCAATATCAGTTTCTGCAAAATGCAAACTACAGACGGCAGAATATTTTGATGGTGTCCAATTCTTACGAGGAATAGCAACCCTCCATTTCTCCCGCAATTTCTCATCTTTGGGGAATAAAAATATAGAATTGTAATTATTATCTTTTAAGGTACTATCATAATTTCCCTTGCAATTGGGAACACAGCAACGCCGTGGCATTATTAATGAATATGTGAAATTTATAAAAAGAATGTATATAAAACAAAATGTCCAAAAATGCTATAGATTATATTAAATAAGTGTGCTACACACCAAAATCAGGATCTGTAGAGTTAATATAAATAAATGAAACACCTGGATTATTGCTCCGTTGCTCACATTTAATGGACTTCAAGTACATTAATATTTGAAACATTTGAAAGATAGGCGGGAGACCGGAAGGCCGGTGGGTAGTGGGAGGCTGTTACGGTAGGTTGGGCTAGGTATATCGATACCGGACTCCCGCGGTGTTGCCATTTTACCTTCAGCACGGCTAAGTACTAGAGTCGGCTGTGACACTGCATGTACTGTACATAACGTACATTGTACTGTACAATTTGTACACAACATGACAGATTCAGATTTTGGTATATACGCGTGTTTGATCAACATTTTGTATCTTACATGCATTTCTAATGTGTAGTTTTCATGAAGCTATAATGAAATTTGTTTACACATATTAATTACGAATAATAATGTTTGATGGTTAATAACTATATTAATAAGAAGGAAGGAAATATGTTTATGGTTATCATCTCGGAACCAGAAAGCTATCTTCGAATTTGAATTCCCAAAAATATATAATTGATTTCTTCACTAGTTACACTTTTTATATTTAATTTGTATAATTCATACAGTTTACATACCATGCGTGGTAATTATTCTATTTTAATCAGCGTGTCAAAATGAATCTATAAAAGATTTCGTTCTTATTAAACGAGATAAGAAAATATAAGTTATATAATATTCTACGTATTGTTAAACAGCTTGATAAGTACGTGAAAAAAGTTACAAAGATGTCAGAAGTGGCCAAAAATTTAAAAGCGGTTCGCGATAAAATTCTTGCTGCTTCTGCTAAAAGACCATTAGTATGTTTTAATTTTGTATTTATGTTTCATAATTTAATATAGTAATAGTTATTTTATAAATGCATAATGTGTGCATTTCTACATTATCACGCACATGTTTATATGTATACTTTCATATATTTATAATACATGTATTTATAAATAGAATGAGAATTATAAATTTCTTTTTACAGGAATATAATTATTTTGAACCACGTCTAGTGGCTGTGAGTAAACTAAAACCTCCTGAATTAATTGTAGAAGTTTACGAAGCTGGTGAAAGGCATTTTGGTGAAAATTATGTAAACGAGCTAATAGAAAAAGGAAATCACCCGAACATTTTGGCAAAATGTAAAGAGATACATTGGCACTTTATTGGTCATTTACAGAGTAATAAAGTGAACAAAATATTGAGTGTTCCAAATTTATATATTATAGAAACAGTAGATAGCGAGAAAATTTCGTTCGCATTAAACGTTGCTTGGCCTAAATTTAGAAAAGATGAGACTTCAAAATTAAAAGTAATGGTACAAGTAAATACTAGTAAAGAAAAAGGTATTTGTCATATTAGTACAAGACATTAGTGATTAAATAAATTTACTGCCACAGTGGTTACTAATGATCAGTGTTTTAAACTAATGATATCTTTAGAATGCTTGAAGTAAACGAATCTTAATATTTATAATTTTTTAAATAATATTAGTGTCTTTAAGAACACTATTACATGAGAAGTATACTATTAGATTATTAAATATTTCTATTTGTCACATTACAATTTGAAAAATGATCAAGTATAAACTTAAACAGGAAAAATTGGAAAATGACAGTCAATGTGTTTAGATGTTCTATTTAAAGATTCTATTTATTTTCTATCAAATGTATTTTCAGAAAAAAGTGGGTGCGAAGTTGCAGAAATTTCTACTCTTGTAAAATGTATTATTAATAATTGTGAAAATTTGGAATTTGTGGGACTTATGACAATAGGTATGTTTGGATACGACATTACCAAAGGTCCAAACCCAGATTTTTTATGTTTGAAAGAATGCAGAGAAACTTTTTGTAAGGAATTAAATATCGATCGGAATAAAGTGGAACTATCGATGGGAATGTCAAATGACTATGAACAAGCGGTAATTTTCATAGAAAATTATATTGTATTATTTTTAAATATGTAAAGTGCAATATCAGAAATTGAGACTAAATTTGTTTAGGTGGAGATGGGCAGTACAAGTGTCAGGGTAGGTAGTGCAATTTTTGGGGAAAGACCAAAGAAAAATACTTGAACAAAGTCTATATACTTTTCCGATGCAGTAAATACTGTTTTCTAGTATTTATATTGATACTTTCGATTTGCTTGAAAGTAGGGTAGGTAGTAATTTGGAGGTCCCTTTTCCAATTACCACATGTTTCGAATCTACAAATCGTATTATGTATAAATATAAATAATTACATTTTTATTATTTCTATTATATTATACAAGATTCTTGTAACTTAGTTCATTTTCTTTCGTATATATTTAATGTACAACTATTCCATTTTAATATAAATAAAAAAACTGGTTCTTATTAAAACTTTCCATGTATTTTTATCAAATATTATTTATTATACCAGGCTATTTCTATTTGTAAAGCAATTTTGTTTTTCATTTATTTAAGAAAATGGAGAACACGAAAAGAATGTATCTGGCTATAAAAATTACCTCATTTATATTCGTACATGGAAGAATAAACATATGTAAGAATGGATGTGCCGTGTGAATGTTTATTGTTTGGTATGGCTCAGGAATGTTTCGAGTGAATCTATTGTAGAGCGAACGCAGCGTGTTTTGGTAATATTGGCCGTGGTGTGAAATAACAGCAGCTCAGAGGTACCAGAAAGCATCGACGGTGCTCTACTCACACATGCCAAATCACGCGTACGCGAGCTCGTGGAGTTTCGGAAAGTCGACAAAGGCAATCTGACGCATGCCCTCTTTCTCGATTCTTCGAAGTAATTTCGGACCGCCTCGTGGGAGTCGAAAGAGAAAGGCTAACATTTGCGTTCTCGCTCTTAAACAACTGAAATTCGACCTCCCGTCAACGGCATACGATTTGGATTCTCGAGCCGAGATTCTCGACTGCCCAGGCATTTTTACTTTCCGACCTATGTAGGCGCACATAAGCAAAGTACCCATAATGAAAAAAAAATTTTGTAAAATTTATTTTACGGAAATACACGTTTTAAGACCCCCTGATCATATTTTAATTATTGAAAAAAAAGAAATTTTTTTTATTAGTCCCATGTATGAGCGCACATATGTATGTATATTATTAATACGATTTTTGAAAATCAAAATACTTTAAGATTGAAAATTAATAAATTAAAATGAGATTCCACTCTTTACCAGTATTGTGCACGCTGGGGCATTTTTCAATAAGAAGAGTTCTTACTTTTATAACATAAACAAAACAGTAGAATTAATAGTTGCAGAAATTAATTAATAATGATTTTCCTCGATATATTTTGAGATAACTGTATCAATTTGTTATGACGAACTAAATAGTATATGTTTGATTTGGCTTAACTTTGCATAAAAAAATAATTGTATCGATCCATCAATAAATAAAAATTTCTTTTTTTTTAATAGTCACAATATGATCATGAAAACAAAATTTTTCTTTCGTAATGGTACTTTCCTTATATCTTACATAGGTCGGAAAGTAAAATGCTGGGGCAGTCGAGACTTGAAATCGTATGACGATTATCGCAAGGTCGTATTTCAGCTGTTTCTCTTAAGAAGGGTTAAGATCAAATAAACTTTTCTTCTAACTTTTCTAGTGTTAGGGGGAGGAGGTTTAAATACCTCACCTAACGGTGGCCCGGATCTCGAGGGAAGGAACTTCGGGAAAAAGAATACAAGATTCGATATAATTTTCGCTTAGCTGAAATTTCTCGACTAAGCCGTTTATTATATATTTACTATGATTGTAGCCGGCAAAAACTGGTCTGCGGGGCCAGACACGGCTGCAGCTAATCCGGTGTACTCGACTCTGAAACAGAAAGAGACACGAATAGCCGTTAAATACCTATCGGCGTGATTTACGTCGTGTGTCTTGCTCTTTTACGCGCGCGCCTGGTTTGTGCTTGTCGCACCCAGGAGCGGGGATCTCTGCCGCCGCGATACTCACAAGGAACCATCGCGAACGGTCCGGCTTCGATTTTGATGAAACTTTGTACACTTATAAAGCAGCCAAAAATAATCGACACGTATTTTTTTTTAGCTGCGGTAACTCGAGTTTAAGGGGTGAAACCACCCCTTGAAGTTTTGGCTCGAAACGGCTATCTCGAAAACGGAAAGACATACAAAAAAATTGTTAATGGGCGAGGTTGATGGTTTCTTATGTACAATAACATGGTGTTAAAAAATTTAAAAAATACAATTTGTTTATAACAAAAAAAATTTATTAACTTAATTTTTCATTTTATTGAAATTTTCATAATGACAAAAAATGACGAGCATTTTATTCCAAATCCATTGGTATGCGATTTTTTAAAATTGCCTCCTACAGTTTTGCAGATTTTGATAATTTACATCTTGCGCGCACATCCATTATGGTAGTAGCCGTTCTAACTTTGATTTTAATGAAGCACTGTAGGCTTGCACTACTTCTAGAGGACAAAATCGGGAAAAATACAAGAATACCAATTTGTTGATTGAGCCTTCGTTAAAAAGTTATTAAAAAATTAAATTAAAAAATTTCAAATCCTCCAGGAAAAAATTATTTTCGGTTGCGGGGGCCAATTACAATCATTTTTGGTTAATACATATACCCACGAATTCCTACGCACTTTCGAGAAAAAAATTCCTAACCGAAAATGTAATTTATGGCCGAAGTATGTTGTCCGAAAATTTCATGCGGATCTTTAAAATGTCATAACTTCTGAACGGATTGAAGGATTTTAATTTTCAAAAATGCAAACGACGCGTATTTTAATCAAGAATATGTAGAAATTCTAACAATATTGAAAAAGTTATTCCTTGACGCCGTAAAGTGACAAAAACTATATAAAAATGGTCCAATTTTCAAACGACCATAACTCCTACAATGGTGAATATATTTCAATGAAATTTTTAGGATAAGTAGAGCTCGTGGGTACCTACAAAAAAGTATTAAACGACATTTCCGTAGAGCATCAAACAAATTTATTAAAAATCAAAAACTGATTTTTAAGAAAAATCGAGAGGGATTATAGAAAAATTTTTCAACGAAATTAAAAAATTTCAAATCATTTGGAAAAAATTATTTTTAGTATAGTGTCAAATTACAATTATTTTTCGTGAATAAACATATACCCGAAATTCTACGCACTTTCGAGAAAAAAATTCTAGAATGTGGACAAATTTTTGGACGAAATTAAAAAATTTCAAATCCTTCTAAAAAAATTACTTTTAGTTGCAGGGCTCAATTACAATCATTTTTGGTGAATAGATATACCCCCGAATCCTACCCACTTTTGAGAAAAAAAATTCTTTACCGAAAATATTATGCCTGACCATATTATACCATTGATATGTTTCACTGAAATTTCAAGCAAATCTTTAAAACGTCATAATTCCTGAACGGCTTGGACGATTTTAATGTTTCAAAAAGCAAACTACGCGTATTTTAGTGGAGAATATGTAGAAATTCCAAAAATACTCGAAAACTTGTTCCTTGACCCCGCAAAATGAGAAAAACCCCATATAAATGGTCCAATCTTCAAACAGCCATAATTCCTACAATAATGAATATATTTCAATGAAACTTTTTTCTTAAGTAGAGCTCATAGGTACCTACAAAAAAGTATTGGCCAACTTTTTTGTAGGGCGTCAAACAAAATTATTAAAAATGAAAAACGAATTTTTAAGAAAAATCGACAGGGCGTAGGTGCCTAAATTTTTCAGCGAAAAAAAAATTTCAAATCGTTCTAAAAAAATTATTTTCAGTTGCGGGAGTCAATTTCAATCATTTTTGGTCAATATATATACCCCCGAAATCCTACGCACTTTTGAGAAAAAATTCGAGAATGTGTGAAATTTTTCAACAAAATTAAAAAATTTCAAACCATTCTGAAAAAATTATTTTCGGTTGCAAGGGTCGATTACCATCATTTTTGGTCATTACACATTCCCCCCGAAATCTTGGGCATTTCGGAGAAAAAATTCAGTACGGGCGGAACTTTAAACGTTAATAACTTTTTAACGAAGCCTCCATCAACAAATTGGTATTCTTGTATTTTTCCCGATTTTGTCCTCTAGAAGTAGTGCAAGCCTACAGTGCTTCATTAAAATCAAAGTTAGAACGGCTACTACCATAATGGATGTGCGCGCAAGATGTAAATCATCAAAATCTGCAAAACTGTAGGAAGCAATTTTAAAAAATCGCATACCAATGGATTTGGAATGAAATGCTCGTCATTTTTTGTCATTATGAAAATTTCAATAAAATGAAAAATTAAGTTAATAAATTTTTTTTTGTTATAAACAAATTGTATTTTTTTAAATTTTTTAACACCATGTTATTGTACATAAGAAACCATCAACCTCGCCCATTAACAATTTTTTTGTACGTCTTTCCGTTTTCGAGATAGCCGTTTCGAGCCAAAACTTCAAGGGGTGGTTTCACCCCTTAAACTCGAGTTACCGCAGCTAAAAAAAAATACGTGTCGATTATTTTGGCTGCTTTATAAGTGTACAAAGTTTCATCAAAATCGAAGCCGGACCGTTCGCGATGGTTCCTTGTCAGGCATAATTGTATAGGATGTTTTCCTTTAAGCATCGGTGGTTTGATAAATCGGTATTTTATTTGCACGCGTTACACTCGTTACACTCTTTTCGCTCTTTCTCTTACAAGGGGAGGTCATACCCTGTCAACCTGGGATTTCAACCAAATTTGGCAGAGTTGTTGGGGCTGATGTCCAAACGCATTCTGTAAAATACTAGACGTTTATGGCCAGCCATTTTGTTAAAAAATGGCATTAAAGTTTAAAATTTCGAAGTTGTCGGATCGACGTTTCTTTTTTTTTAAATTGTAGGTCTCGAAGAGGGGAACACAAAAGTCCAATACATTTTTGCCGTAACATCAATAATTTAAACAAAAATTTGAGTTTTTGTGACGGGATAAATGCATATGTACCGTGTAGTTGTAGCGTATTTTCAACAGTCATTGTAGCCGTGGAGTTAGCGTCGAGGAATTCGGGTTGGAAGACTGGGGTTCGTCTCCCCGGAACTAGAACATTTTGTTTTTTTTCTTTTCTTCGCTTATTTTTGAATTTTTATTTATTTTTAATTTTAATTTTTAATATCATGGAAAAAGATGGCTATTACAAATAAATAAAATACTATTATGGTTACAAATGTTTATTTTCACACATACTTACAAACATATTCTCATATATATTTACATCTCACGTATAAATA